CCCTGCCACGTCATTGCCTAAATATTTTCATGTTAAATGTGTCTTCTTCAAGGTTTGAACTTGTGACCACCTCTTTTCGTGTCCAATTTTCTTATCGTTGAGCTAGATTGAATTTGTTTATTATTATTGTAAAATAAAATATATATATTATTATATTATACTTTCATCGGTGACATTAGAAAGTCGCTACTAAAAAGTCATCGCAGAAAGTGGACTTTTAGTGGCTGCGGTGACTTCTTTTGTCGACGCCAAAAGTCGTCGCCTGAAGTCTTTTTTTTTTCATAGTGTTATATGTTCCTAAAATAGATAATAGACTAAAAGTGAATTGAGATCTTATATTTATAATTCATCTAATCCCCTAGTTACACTATCTTAGGGATCAAAGAGATGGCAATGAGTAAAGGAAGGACACTATATATATACTACCTGCGATCCTTAATGTAGAGTTAATTTGATTTTTAATTTGGTTCTAAATATAAAATCTCAATCTATTTTGTCTTTCATATTTATCTTTTTTTTCTAAAGTAGTTCTTGTAGTAGGTGCATATGTTAAATATTTCATTAAATGGTAGTTTTATTTAGTAAACATGATTAGCAAAGATATTTGGAAAAAAACAATATCTATTTATTACAAATAACTAACTTAACTAACTTTTTTAATCTTTCCAAATTAGTCAACTAGGTCTTATATTAAGGATCGGAGCCGGAGGTAGTGTGTGTGTAGAGAGAGAGAGAGAGAGAGAGAGAGAGACCTTCCAGATCATGATGGTGATAGAGGCTTGAGCATGGTCATTAGCATAGGTAGATAACGGTGTGATGCGTCCTCCCACGGCCACACCAGCATCGAGTTGAACAAATCCAGAACAAAGAAGATCATAACATCCAGTGGTATTGCTGGAGTCACTCTATCATCGGATCACAATATTTAATTTAGAAACAAATTTAACGATATGAAAATTATTCTGAACACAAACAGCAGTGTTGTTGAGAAATTAAACTTGAACTCACGGTCCAATATGTAAAGAGTCTGGTCGTATTATCCCCATATACTTGTGGATTCACCTGATCAATAGAGATATAGATTGGACAAATATAGACCTTTTTAATCTAATCTCATAAATTAAGAAAGGTAGTTAACAACATTAATCTTTTCAAAAATCATGCTCATTTTCCAGACCTACACCTGTTCAATTTTATTTCCTCACCTACTTTTGCATAAATTGAACAAAGGTAGATTTGAAAATGGCTGATAAATATGACTCCCCAGTCCTTAATATAGTCCTTAATGTATGATCTAATTGTTGAGTTGACATTGGTTCTAAATGTAAGACATATTTATTATATTTATCAATTTTTTCTAACTTACTCTTAGTAATACTCCATCAATCATAATCAAGTACGAGAAGAAGGGAGGACATCAAGTAAAATGATTATAGTATTTTAAGAAAAACATGTCATATTTCTTATAATTAATTAACTTACCTAACTTTCTTAATCTAATCAAATTAATTAAATAGGTCTCCGATCGTATTCTGTAAAGGTTCTTATATTTAGAATAAAAAAAAGCAGAATTAAAGGGTTTTATATTTAATATCGAAGTGAATATTCAAAAGCTACTTCATATGTTCGTGTGTGTGTGTGTGTATGATTAATTAAGAATACCTGCCAACCAGCTTCAATGGTATTTGTATTTACATCATCATCATTATTGATAAGCCAAATTTGAGAGACACTAAATTCACCGGACTGAACATGAGGATTCCAGGTGTTTATGGTTGCCTTTGCTCCATAATATGGTTCTTCATCTACATACATTGTAGCATACTAAATGCTCCAAAACCATCAAATCAAATTAAGTCAGAAAAAGAGAAACAACCGTAAATAAAGAAGAAACACATCAAATAAGCAAAACGAGAGACAAAGCTAGTAATTTTGGATAGAGGAACAACAATAAAACCTCTTGGATTCCTTTAGATCTGGCATATAAGCGACGAACAGAGACAGTTTTAGGATTCTTCTTCCCAAATCTTTGGATAGAGCTTGCCCTTAATATGTCTTCTCTTATTCTTCTTATAGGGATGGTTCCTTCTGGGCAGCTTCCACTTTGGTGCCATGGTTGAAAAATTGGCTTTGATGATTTCGAAGATCCATCAAGTTTTTCGAGTATATCGCCTTTTGGGTAAGAACTTGGCCTCATCTTGAATCAAATCGAAAATAATAATCAAGCAGCTTTGGAATTGTGAAAAACATATGTGATGAGAAGAAGCCCAATTAATAAATTAAACTCATGAAAGCAAATTGTGTGTTGGTTTCACCTTAATTTTGTGATTTTTGAGTTTTGGATGATCAAAAGCTGGTTGATTTAGAATCGAGACACAATCAATTATATCTCCATCAGGACTCTGCTTTGTTAACACAAAGGATCATGAAATTGCAAAACCATGAATTTATCCGAATTGTTAGTAAAACCCAAAATGACTTGGTCATATATTATCTTCGGTTTTAATTATAAGACCTCATTTGTAGAACGGGGCCTTATAATTAGAATCGGAGGTAGTACAATATAATCAGACATGGGGATAATTGAGAAATATGAAGATGAATTTGTCTACGTACCTTGATAGATTTAAGAGCTGGTTTATTCAACTTCTTCAACAGTTTCTGAACCTCAAGTTTCTGATTAAAACCGACGTCTTTGCGACCCGCGTTCGTCACTTGCACAGAAATCAACAAGAACACCAAAACATTTGCCACAAAGATCTTGTAATTTCCTAGATTGTCTGCCAGTATCGACTGTGAAAAGTAGACAAAGCTTTCTGAGAATTTATATATATAGGCAGATTATGCTACTAGTTGAATGTGAATTTATTGTTTTTCCTTCTTTTTTCATATAAGATCAATTTCCTTGCCAAATGAATCTAAACCTTCTCTGCTATAATCAATTGGATATATTTTTACTATATATAAGAAGTTATGTATGACTAACGTGTGATATGGCAAAGCATATTCATCGCCTAGTGCTCGTGAAATATGTAATCTATATTTTATGCATATCCAAATATTTTAAGTATAGCATTGATGAAATTATCCTATCTCGACTTGATTTAATCTTCCAAATCCAAATCATTAAATGCAAGAAAATTCGTAGGTATCAAATAATGCTTCAAGCATATATGCTTTTGATTCGCATACTTGAGATGCATCAGAACTCACAGGACATTTCTATAACTGCCAAAATATAAATAAATTAAATGCTTGTTTTGGAAATTATCATATGTGGAGTGAATATTTTTGTCCAGAAATAAAAAAGTGCTACTGGTTTCATGGTAATATAACGCTGCATCATGAAAATAAATAAATAAATGGCTGCTATAAAACGAAAAAAATATAAACATGACTCATAATACCTTTTGTAGGGAAAGGAAGAGCACCTCTTTTGGCAAAGAAATATAAATGATCTTCTGGAACTGAAGCATAAAAACTGTATAAAATTAATTAAATAATTTCTTAATTTTAAAAATTAATATATAAATAAATATAATATAATTGATGTTGTAAAAATTACAAATTGATATATTCCATATATAGGAAGTCTTTAATTTTCGAGTCCAGACGTAACAGCAGTCACAGTTAAAGTACAGTGTCGCGGTTAAAAAAGGAGCATTATGGCAGTAGATAATAATAGATAGATATGTTAAAAATAATAATAATAATAATAATATGTCATAGACAAACATGCTATAAAAAAAAAATACTTTCCCCTCTTGTGCTTATTAATATAAGTGCTAGTTTAACTTTCAACTTAGTTATAAATACAAGATCTCAATTTATTTTATTTTTTGTATTTATCTATTTTTTTAAAAATAATCTTTATAGTAGTTGTACATGTTGAAATTTTCATTAAATGATAGTTCTAACTAATGTATATGATTAGTAAGGATATTATAAGGAAGGTAATGCATATTTATTACAAATAATTAAATTAACAAACTTTTTTAATCTACTAAAATTAGTCAACTGCCACTGGTTTTTATATTAAAGACTAAAGGTACTAATAGATATTTTGTCCTAATTACATAATTTTTAATTTTGAACAATAATAACTTTTAAATAGAAAAAAATAACTTTTTTATCTTTCGAGTTTTAACTCAATTATGATTTAGTCCCTCAATTATTACACCTTATGATTCATTTCTTAAACTTTTAACTTGGTTAAAACTCATAGCGCCTAATACTTTCTCATTTAATAAATTAGTATTGGAGGTTTTTATTTAATTCTAAACATAAAACCTTAATTCATTTTCCCTCCTAAATTTATGATTTTCCCTCCCAAATATCTCTATGGATCATAAGTATTTTCTATCGAGAGATGATTTCAATATACATGATTAAACAAAAATAGTTTTAAAAAATCAACATATATTCGTTACAAATAACTAATTTAACTAATTTTGTTAATATAATCGTTATCTACCTCTTAATTGATTAGAGGTACTAACTTATTTTGAGTCATCATCCAATGTCTTTGTGGCAAAAAAAACTATTGTTTGGCGTGACTGTCAAATAAGCTCCAACCTTCGTTGATAACCCACAGCCCCTCCCCTGTTCCTCCTCATTGACTATATTAAATTGACAAATAATTTGAAAAAAATTGCCCTTGAATTTGTCAGCAACAATACCATTGACTTTGAAGTATTCTACTGAAGCTTAGGGGCAATATCAAGTAATTCTCCTAACTATATATCATCCAAATGTTAATTAGAGGCCAAGAGCCTTCACTGACCCGGCCGTCTACAAATAAATACCTCTTTTTTATTTACGCAGCAGGTCTTCTCTCTTCTCCCCTTGACTTTTCTTTTTGTTTTGTTTTCATTTTGGCCAACTTATTTTGACCTCTTCTAATGCCATATAATGAAGCATGTAACGCAGAATCCAATTTAAACTTCTCTTGCATCTTCTTGCCTTCATAGATTCTTCTCCTTTGTAACCTGAAGACTTTACAAAAAAGTCCCCTTTTCATCTCTCTGTTTCTCTCTCGGGATATTCGTTTTACCGTTGCAAGATCGAATTTTTAATTCTAAAGTACTGAAGAGTGAAGAGCCCAAGAAGCAAAGCGATTCACCAATCAAGCTTTTGATCCGTTCATTATGGCTGAGACGAGCAACGTCTCTCTGCAGCCCACTCTTGAGTCTTTCTTCCACACTCTTGACCCCATTTCTCAGATCCTCGCTCAGAGAAACTCCGACTCCGACCACCCTCTTCTTCGCCTGAGGCTAACCGCACTGGGTCACGGGCCCATGGAGAGGGGACCCAGCTATGAAGCTTACGCCCAATTAAGAGAATCAAAGCTCCGACTCAAGCTCATTACTCAGCAGCAACAACAAGAAGAGCTTGCTTGTTCAGAACCCGACCCGAAAGTAGTGACTCCTCCGCCGACGAAACTGGTCAGGTTTCGGTCGAGTTCGCAGAGAGAAAGGTATAGTGCAGGCCGTTCAAGTAGTGGGCGTAAAGGGTACTCTGTTCTTGCTCAGTCCGTTCCAGATTTCTCGGCGGCGGCATTACGGAAGGAGAATCGAAAGCCTGTGAGTACGACGCCGCCGCTGCCTGCAGCCAAGAGTTTATCGAGATCGTCCAGCGTGAAAGGAAGCAAGTCGGCGAATATTGCAGGGGAGAAGAGGGGTGGCGGCATTCTGATGGCGAGGAAGAGCCACGCCGCCATGGATGAACTCAGGAATTTCTCTGCCGCGGTGGGTAATGCCATTAAAGGTGAAAACAGAGGAGGAGGAAGAAAGACTGTTCTGGGATGCAGTAAGTTCGGATTTTGAAAATGAAAGGACTGTGGATATCGTCGAACCTTCTGATTTCTCCATTGTTATTTTATTCCTTCAATTTTTTGATCACCGGTCACATTGTAATAAAATTTAATAATTTTTTTCTTGCCCGAGAAATTGTAATAAAATTTGGTTCTGCCATCCGACTTACGAATGAATAAATATTTATGTCCTTGGGCCGAAAAGATAATATTTGTCTTGCCGGGCTTTGGACTGGACTCAGGCCCAATACAATGGACAGCCCATGCATCCAAGGTTTGGTGCTTTTTTTTTTATATATATATAACACAAACTCACAATTCACAAGCCCATTGGAGTTAAGTCTGACAGAACAGACCAGTTTCTCACAATATGATGAACCAAGTTTTAAAGTTTTACGGAGAGAAGTATCCATATTTAATACTCCTCCGATCCTTAATATAAGACCCATTTAACTAATTTGATTAGATTAAGGAAGTTAGGTAAGTTAGTTAATTATAAGAAAAGTGACACATTTTTCCTAAAATACCATAATCATCTTTTTTAATACCCCCTCTCCCTCTTCTATTTGATTATGGTTGAGAGAGTATTTATAGGGGTAATTTAGAGAAAATTGATAAATATGAGAAATGGGTCTTATATTTAGGACCAAAACCAACTCAACAATTGGGTCCTATATTAAGGACCGAAGGAGTACTTAACAATATCTTAAATAGGATTGTTTTCAATAATAAGATATCTATACATAAAAAAATGAGGAACAAACTCACAAAGGTTTGGCGTTGAATGAGGAGGAGAATGTTCTTTTTTTGGTACAAACGAGGAGGAGAATTTAATGTTAAGCAAGGATCAAATATGCTAGGTGGCCCAAAGCTTGATCGTGCGACTCAGTAATAGGATTTAGAAAAAACACCGAATACTAGATGGCCCAAAGGCTTATTAAAAAAAACATTTTATAATACTTTAAGCACATTCATTAATATTTTAACAATAGATTTACGCTTTAGCTTTTTTATACTCTATATGATAATTAATATTGTTTTCCCTGAAATTTCCCCTTAAAAAATATCGTTTTAATTATATAAAACAGAGTAAAAGAAAATAATGAACATGATGTGGGTAGATTTGGCCTTAAAACAATGGGTATGACTTGGATGAATTTTTAAAGCAGAAGTTAAAGCCGAATATGCAGAAGCAAGCATTTTAAACTCGCATCAGTTCGTGAAGGGCAAGAACGCTAGAGCGATTTAAACCAAAATAAAGTACTAGTAAAATAGAATAAATGATAATGATGATAAAATGTGGCCCGCATATACATAATTGCATTCTCTTGTAGTTATATCACAATCTCTAAGCATCGAACTACGTGAATTTAGAGGAACAAAGTCATTTGTCTCAAGTGGGAAAATAGACTCCATAAGTCAGCGTGTGTATTATTTAGTTTATACTCTTTCTCTTCAATTAATGCGGAGAAATGCGAAGATTCGTTAGACAAAGTTGAAAAAAGATTACAAATATGCCGAACATAAATTGTACTGTATCTAGTCCTAATTATAAGACCTTATTTATAGTCTACAAACAAGGTTTTATAAATAGGACCGGAGGTAGTATCTGGATTTTTAAGCAAATTTTAGATACTTTTGGGTAGCAAATTTTATAATGAGAGATTTTTAAGCAATTATTTATTTTTTTAAAAAAAATGCATACGTTAGTTTGCTTCTTATCATTCGATTTATTGAGGTTTTATTTATATTTTTCTAATAAAATATTATTCAACTTGAATCGATAACAATACACGAGGTATTTCCCTGACTCTAAATGTATAAGTTAAATAACTAATTGAAAAAATGATAGAAAAAGTACATGTTAAATTTCAAAATCAGAAATACGTGGTTTTAACAGATTTTAACTTGTCAAATACGTAACATGAATTATATATTGATTTATCTTCTATATCTCTCCAATCCTAAATATAAAAACACGGTAATTAATTTATAGGAATTAAAAAGTTAATTAAATTATTCATTTGTCAAAACATTATGTGTTGTTTCCAATTTAATCTTTTGTGTTCTGTAATAAAACTGCCATTGTATAAAAATTAAAAATCATTTTTTAGGTGTCCAATCAACATGGATGGTTTGAAAACAAATTATTTCATTCAATTCTTAATGTAAGACTTACTAATCTAATTTAAATAGATTGATAAAGTCAATTAAATAATTCAATTATAACAAAATGTGACATTAAGTTATACTTGGGTTTATAAAGTAAGTAGATTTTGCTTTTTTTAAAAGAAAAGATAAATATGAAAAATAAAATGAATCAATATTTTATATTTAGAATTAAATTTAATTGTAATTAATTTTTATATTAGGAATGAGATGAAGTATAAATATAAGAGATAAAATAAATTTAAATCTTATACTTAAAATTAAAAGAAATATCATAATTAACTTATATATATTTAGGAGATAAGGAAAGGAGTTATTCAGCACTCCCTCCAGTTTAAAATATGAGATAAAATTTATCTATTTGTATTTATTAAAAAAATTAGTTAAAATCAGTTTCAAATAAAGGTATCTATTTGTATTTATTAAAAAAATTAGTTAAAATCAGTTTATTAAAAAAATTAGTTAAAATCAGTTTATCTATTTGTATTTATTGATCAAGGTATGTATTTTCCTTCAAATGACCTTATTAAAAAAAATAAAAGATGTAATATACTCCTCCGGTCCTTAATATAAAACTCAATTCTTGAGTTGGTTTTGATCTTAAATATAAGATCCATTTCTTATATTTATCAATTTTCTCTAAATTACCCCTATAGATACTCTCTCAATCATAATTAAGTAGCAGAGGGAGAGGGAGTATTAAGTAAGATGATTATTGTATCTTAGGAAAAATGTGTCATTTTTCTTATAATTAACTAATTTACCTAAATTTCTTAATCTAATCAAATTAGTTAAATGTGTCTTATATTAAGGACCAGAGGAGTGTAAATTAAAAAGAGAATATATGTTAGGAGTAAAATTGAAAAAAAAACTCATTAAATATTTATACAAAATAAATGTTCTCTTATAAAAAATATCAAACCCCTTCAATAAAGTTTATCTTATATTTTAAATGGGGCAGTAATTTACTAATTTTTGTGCGAACCAAATCTTTAGGTGCTTGGGATTAAACTTTTTTTTGCCCCTCACATTTATCCTCGAGCTCTAAAGTCACTTTTAAAACATTTATCTGGGTTGTGTCGTAAAAAGTAAATGAGTTTCGCGAATCTTTGGGAAGAGGCAGGTAAACAAAATCCTCTGACCGCACGGCATGAAGTTTGAAGTTACAAGCAGTCAACCACAAGTTGTGCTGCGTCCCGACCGCTGCTGACGTACGAAGTTGAATCTTGGGAAAATCCCAAAAAAGGTCTTTAGAATATGTGAAATGTCAGATTGGGTCCTTAAATTTCAAAAATGACAGAATGGGTCATTGACCCAATCTGTCATTTGTGAAATTCAGGCGAATTGATAATTTTGCCCTCATTTATTCATTCACTACAATGATTTAAGGAATCACTATAAGAGTTTAGGTGTTACCTAGATTCGTATAGCGAATAACTACTCACTTTTTCATAGTCAGGTGTCTTGTTATTAACTAAAACTAATTCTGTAATCACTAGAACAATGTAAGTATTACCTAGATTTGTGTAGAGAATAACTATTCATTTTTTCATAGTTAGGTATCTTATTATTGTCAGGTACCTTATTATTAACTACAACGAATCTTGTAATCACTAGAATAGTATAAGCGTTACTTAGATTTGTTTAGAGAATAACTACTCACTTTTGCTCAGGGGCAAAAATGTCAATTCGCCTAAATTTCACAAATGACAGATTGGGTCAATGACCCATTCTGTCATTTTCGAAATTTAAGGACCTAATCTGGGATTTTTCATATTCCAAGGGCTTTTTTTGGGATTTTCCCTTGAATCTTCCTCTCTAAGTAATAGATCCCCTTATATTTTTAATACAAATAAAATATAAAAAGTGCTGTGAAAAATTGTAGTGTGCGTCAATTTGGTGAGGGGAGAACCATGCGCATACCCAATATTTTTTCGATTTTTAATATAAGATCTATTTAACTAATTTGATTAGATTAAGAAAGTTAGGTAAGTTAGTTAATTATAAGAAATGTAACACGTTTTTCCTAAAATATCATAATCATCTTTCTTAATACTCCCTCTCTCTCCCCTACTTGATTATGGTTGAGAGAGTATTTATAAGAGTAATTTAGAGAAAATTAATAAATATGAAAGATGTGTCTTATATTTAGGACAAAACCAACTCAATAATTAGATCTTATATTAAGGATCGGAAGAGTATTAAGTGACTAGGAAGATAAATGAGTCAAGAGGATGGTAGGCTTTGTACACGTATCAACCAGTTAATAGGAAACGATTTTCTCTCTGTGTAAAGTAACAAGCTTTTTTGTTATTATGTCACCTTGCTCTCTTATAAGAAGAATTTATTTAATTTTGAGGAGCATCGCTTCTTAAACTACTGAGGAGCTGCGAAGTATCTCGCCATGACTTAGACCATCAAATTTTTAGTGCTGCTTTCAACAAAAACAAATATAAAAAGAATGCTTAATTGTCATTTGTTTTTTTTTTTTTCATTTTAAATGACAAAGTAAGGTGAAACAAAAATGAAAAGCCTTCGTAATTGTTTGTAAAGGTTAAACACACTTTGTATTCTTTTTTTAAAAAAAAAAAAAATTAAAGGAGCATATGGTAAAAACACGACATTATAAGGGGGCTAAATGCTAATAGCATCAAGTTGCAAACGAGATTGAACTCTAAGTGGCATAAAAGTTCCTTGTAGTGATAGTTCATAGGCTTAGCTTGATTCTCCCTGCGCCCATTCTTTTAGAGGTGTTTGGACATAAAGCAAAACCATGATTTGAGTTGTAAAATCATGGTTCTGGAATCTTACTATCAAAACATGCTAATTTTTTGTAAAATTATTTTGTTTGAAAACTATGGTTTGAAAAAAAAAAACCAAAGTGTTTTGGAACTCCAAAAATCATTTAAAAAACTGTTTTTTAAATCAAGATAAAATTTTTCTTAAGTACTTATTTTGAAATCCGCAAAATTATTTTGGAAAAAGCTAATCCAAGTACACACGAAAAAAAAGTTGAGAATATCTTTGATACACATGAAATAATATTAAGATGATAAATTATAATTATCAATAAAACAAATGTTTCTAAAAGATAATCTAAAAAATAATAAACCATGCTGCATGAGGTATAATAATATCAATTATCGAACCATTATTTATAAACCATACTGGCTAAAAAGATGGCGGGTAAACAATACTTGCTAAAAATTATATTATGACTAATTTTAATAACATGAAAAAATTATCTAATTTTACTAATAAAAAAGAAGAAAGGTTTCACACAGATCATTTATTTTTTTCACCATTAGACGTTCTTAAAAAAATTAATCATGGCAAGACTGAAGCAGAAACTTTAAAACTTAAGCATTTTACTTTAAGATTTAGGCTTAGGTGTTTGCATGTGAAGAAAGTAATTAACTAGGAGTCACTCAATCACATGACAATTAAAATTGGATTGAAATGGTAATTTTGTAGAAATTATTTAATTTAAAAGAAGAAAATTGATAGATATTTTTCTGAATGAGTGGTCAGATCCTTTGGACAGTGTGGTGGTTGGATATCAACTGGGTCATGCCAATTCTTTCACTCCAGTCTCAGACGACAACTGCCCGCAGTCAACTTTGGCTTACATCTCATTTTCTAATTTCTATGTGAAATTTATGTAAAAACTCCAAGTTTTTTAATATAAATAATTTTAAAATAAAATATATAGATAAATAATATGGATGGTTCCCTTTTTTTTTGTCGGTAATTTTATATATAAAAAATTTTATACATCACGTTAGATTTACCCCTTTTGGTATTCTTTCAATTTTTTATATAATTGTATTAGTAAACTTTAAAAATTACAATTTTTAGAAAATTAAAAACACACTTTTAGTTATTCAATAAAAATATTAGAGGAAGTCTTGTGTGTTTGGATAAAGCACAAGATCCACAACTTCTGAATAGTTATGCCAAGAAAGTAATCTTTTCTTTTCGATTTGAAACTCCAAAAATTAAGAAAAAGGAGAATTTTTTTATAACAAAAAAAAAACAGAAAATTTTCTTTGTACTTGTATATTGGCATGGTTAATACTTAAAATAATTATGGGCAAATTATTGAAGTCCATCTAAATATTTAATTAAATCAGGAAAGAAGATTTTCCACTATATGTTGTTAGTTTTAAAAATATAAAAATCAAATCAGAAAAAATAAAAAATTAAATAACTTGGTATTTTTAATTATGAAAATAAGATGCACGGTACTAATAAGATACTAGTAATGTACATTGAATTATATATATTGGCATTATAACTGAAAATGATTAGAACTTTAGAAAGACTAGACTAACTTCAAGGTAGTGATCATGGCTAATTACCAAACAAATTTTCAAAATTTCTCAAGAATCAACAGTGAACAAATTCTGGCAAAAGAAATAGGAACAAGTGGCCATCACACCCATAAATAATGACAAGAAAAACAGAGCAAGCTCTTCGGGCATTCAACTGGACAACCACCGTCTCTGTGTCATTACTTGATTGTTCTATCTAAAGTTGATCACACAGAACAAGAAGCAATAAATATATAAATAGATAAGTAAATAAAATCAGTGCATACAGCCATGGTCTGATCTGATCAAAGAACAAAACAGAGCGACAGAAGAATAAGCAAGAGTGAAGAGACAGCAATACAAGGATGAGTTTCTTACCATGTGCCTCCATTGTACTATGAATCCTCTGCACAACCATCAAACATCCTTGTGTTTGACTTTGTCTTTGATCATACAACTTTTGCCCATATCTCAATGCATCACCACACGGTACAACCAGAAAAGATAAAAAAGGTCGCTTTCTTTACAAGAAATATCTGTGGAGGACCATATTGACAGTTCACTAATCTAATCTAAGGATCAGAGTAAAATGATTGGAATAGAACACGCAATGAAATGTATAATCACTTCCTCTTTGTCTTGTCTTTACTTTTGGAGAAGATTGAACCGAACCCAAATAGATTTGCAGATGGGACATGGAGAATAACAGGGACGCCATTACCATAAGATGCTTGAGATTTTTTCAGGGGAGGTTTTAGATAACTGTTGTGACACAACGAGGAAGATGAAGACCTTGCTGAAGCATGCAATTTCTGCGTATTGTTATTCTTACCTTCTTTTGACACAGACATGTTCTTCTTAACACTTGAGGTAGAAGGCGAAGTTGATCCTGTTGAATAGCTTCGAGATAGAAGTGGCAAAGGGCATAAGCTTCTTCCATACCCCGTTCCATAGCTCTTACTTCTCTTAAATCGCCAAAATGACTTGTGATTGTGAACTTGCTTTTCAACATCTGCTTCTTCTTTGAGCCTCTCTGGCTTCGAAACCTTCATGATTGAGACATTTTCTCGAACAGCTTCTGGGGGTGGAGATCTATGCTGATGGGGCAACAGAAACTGATGATGATCTGTTTGTTTCTGGGGAAAATTCTTCTTCTTCTTCTTCTTGATTTCAGAGGGAAGGAGCCTCCCATCTGAGAAAAGCTCATCGGCTGAAGACGCCTCCTGATCAAAGCTTTCACGAACACAGAAATCAAAATCAAAGGACGGATTGTTCAAACCCCAGGAATTTGATCGAGAAAGGTGTTGCTCAACTGGGATTGCATTAGAATGAAAGTCATAAGAGAATGAGATTCTTGGACTCACGGGATCCCCAGAATTTCCTGAGAAAAACTCAATAGCCATTAGAGAAAACAATAGCTACGACTGCGAAACGTGAGGATTAAGAAGAAGAGGAGGAAGAAGAAATGTAAATGTAATAGGGACAAGGGTTAGTGAACTAGAAAGTATTTAATAGCTTTCAAACCTAACAAAGACTGGAATTAAAAAAGCAGAGAGAAAAGCAAAAGTATTAGGAGTCAGAACTAGAATAAAATAAATGAAGAAAAGAGGACTAAGTCGTCACAGGGGTGCGATATCTGACACAGTTGAAAATGGAGAACAAGTTGGGAGGGATGAATCCGTGGTCCAGAGGAGAAACAGAGAAAGCAGCAGTGGGGGATTGGTTATGGGGAATGAGAAAACGATGAAGACTTTTGGGGAATTAAGCAACGTGACTTGTTTTTTCTCTGAAAGAAAACTTCTGGTGTCGATGATTTGTTGGGCTGTTGGAGAAGAGAGAGAGGGAGAGTTTAGCTTGACCAAGTAAAAGCCTAAAAGCCAGCTTGGTTTGAGGCTGCTAAAAAAAATCAAGAAAAAAGAAGATAGCATATTCTATGTATTGAATTTTTAATGAAAATATAAAAAAATTACGCACAAATTTTTTATATTCCTGAAATAAACCCCTAAATATTGTGGACGGCAAAATTCTTGAAAGCTATAAGTAGGACTGTTTCACAGGACGGTACGGGGACATGCTCGTCTTGCTAAACAGGAACAGGACGGGATGTCCCGTTTTCTTTTTTTAAAAAAAAAAACTGTAATTTTTTGTATAAATTTTTTAATAATTTTTTTATATTAAGCTTCTAAATATAAAAATATTATTCAAAATTTTATGTAGAAAGCTTAATTATATAATATAAAAAATATATAAAAAATACTGTAAAAAAATACCATAAAAAAATACTGTATAATAGTTTTATAAATTATTTTATTGAGGAAGAAAATTTTGTTAAGATAACATTGTAACTTAAGAGTTGAAAATTACTATAAAAAGTAATAATTATTATTAATAAGTGAATTAAATAATCTAATTATAATTATAAATAAGTAAGTTTTTTAAAGAAATACTCTGGGAGAACCCCACCCCGTCCCGTCCCGTCCCGTAGTTGTCTCATCCTGAATTTTTTTTTTCCTCGTCCCATCCAATCTCAAATTAATTACGACTGGGATGAGACAATCAGAATGGGACAAGTTGAACACCACGAGCTACAAGAATCATATCATATTATTATATATACATAATCTATACTTCCTTATAAGTCTTAAATGTAGTAATAAAATGTATTAATCAAGGAGATACTAAATTTTATGTGCTATTATGTAAAATTTGTTTTTATTGCACACTACCCTCTATATAATGTCCCAATATTTGAGTCAAGGATTATTAATTAGTGAAATTATAGAATCCAATTCTTTAGTCAGTTCTTGCATATATTAGCCAAGGAGATACTAAAATTTATGTATTATTATGTAAAATTTGTTTTTATGGCATTATTACCCTCTATATAATGTCACAATATCTTAGTGAAGGATTATTAGTTAGTGAAATTATAGAATCCAATTCTTTAATCAGTTCTTGCATATTTTAAACTTTTTGATACCCGTTAGCACTAAACAAAATTCAAAAAATCTATTTATATTTACTTTTCAAATTAAGGACTGATGAACATTTTTTTTCTTATTTTTATTTGTATTTTATGGATCTCTTAATGCTATTATTTCAGTATTTTTTTTATCCATAAATAATTGAGAATAATATTGATTCTAATTAGAAATAGATCATTGAGTTTCTTAAATTCATATAATCTATATTTAATTTGTTTAATATCAAATTATCAATATATTAATATCAATATTCAAAACCAGCCCAAGATAAATATAGTAGTATCTTCCTACAATGATTTAAATTTTGATTCATCACATTATAAGGGATTAATCTTTTCCGTCAGACCTAATTCCTATTAGTATTATAAATAGTAAAGTTAATTCTACAAATTTTATGTGATGCGTTAAACAATATATATTTCTGTTTTTATCATAAAATTTGTAACGAGCCATAATATCCATATATCATATGTTGGCAAAAAAATTTCATGTATCATATATAATGGATTTTACGTAATATTGATATTGTCATATAGTGTTTCTTCTTTTTTTTTGGGTTAGTGACGTCAATATTATGTAATCTTGAAAAGATACAAACATACGTCGTTATTTGCTATTGCCAATTTGGCATAGACATGATTTGATTAAATTTAAGCTGACGCTGAGATGATGCTAATAAGCTTTCTTTTGGCCCAAAAAATTAAAAAAATGGAGGATGCTAAGCTTATTTCACTAAATCAATCATTACTAACAAAATAGGAAGTTAATCAAACTTAATTCATACGCAAGAAGAATCCGAAATGCCATTAAATTTCTAATTAATGTGATAATCCTCTTAAATCAATGGATCGAGTTGCTTAGAGACGCAAACTCGTACATATGTGAGTTGTGTGGTGAACATGACCAGAATTTGGGTGTATGACAAACACAAATCTTTATAATGAGGTTTCATTTTCAAAAATGACGGGACGACTTGCATGCTTTTTTTTAATATTATTATTGGTTTTTACAAATTTGATCAAATTTTAATTTTGATCCTTATACTTACTTAGTTTGAGTTTAAATATAATACAGGGACCAAAACTAAAACTCATTAAAAGCATAGGATCAGTGGCTGAACTCATGCTAAAAAATTATGAAACTATAAAAATCAGAACCAATAATTTGAAACTATAAGAATCAAAATCAAAATTTAATTGAATTATTATTATTATTTTTGGTTAATGGAGGCTAATGTGACAAGCTTTGTATATGTTTTTAGGAGTTAGTCCCTAGTCGTATTTTACGTATTTATGAATAAAAAGGTTGCATTTTTGTCAATATAGTCGCGAATATACGACAAAATACATATTGATTATAAAAGAGCATATATATAGAATAATACATAATAGAATTCTCATTTAAAAACTCAACTTTTTCATTCAATCGTAGCATATGTACACATGGTTGTGATTTGACATCGACCCGCCCTAAGAAGTGTGCAAACGCTGAGGTCTTGATAATCCCAATCCTAACTTGGAGACTAACGGCTTATTTGCAGCTGCTCTTATTAAGTATTTATAAATACATTAATGTAAATTGAGACAAAATTTTCTTCAAAGTTATTTATATCATATTCTGTAGATTATAATTAAAGAACTGTTTTTGGAGAATCCTAACGCTAGTTCAAACAAATACTAAATAATCAACAGCCAACTATGAGGTACGCATGCCATTAAGCTTAAAACAACAACTTCTATTATTCATAAAAAACTATACATTACTGCTCATAAAAATCCCTTTCAGAATGAGAGTCTTGAGTTCAAAAGTCAAAACCCTAACTCAAGGTCTCAAACCAAATTTAGTGGCCATGAAAATTTAGTCACAAGCTCCTTTTCACTCAAGGTTTCTAACTGAAATAATTTTATCGTCAAATAAAGTGTAGATTATTTATACTGAAAATATCCAAAAAAATTGACAATAATTTGTCCATAAATAGTAAAATCACCCAAACTTATAGTCTAACCACATAATCAAGTTTCAACAAACATTTCTAAGTTAACATAGCAAAAAATTGAAGTTTCAAGCAGTTATCAACTTTAAATTTCGAAATCCCTTTCATGAAACTTATGAAATGAGAAAACAATTAAAATCCGATTAAATTCATTTTAGAACAATAAACAAACTTCATTAATTAAAATCCTTAAGTATAATCTAAATGCCCAATAACAAGTCAAATTTAAGCTCCCATTTTTGGGTTCAGCCCAAACTCCAAAAAAAATGATCGGTTAAAACTTGAACAAATCAAGAGTAGAATGAAGATTGAAGACTACCTTGGTGTTTAAGGGATTTTGGAGGCCTCCAAATCAGTCTAAAGTCGCCCAAAAATCATTCCTTAGCATAGCATTACCGTTCTTCCTTCCTTCTTTGTTTTTTTTTTTTTTTTAAATTTCCATCAAATTGTACCAGATATAAAATTCAAAAATTCAAAATTAATATGAAGCATATCCACAAGTTATGAATTAAGATTTTTTGAAAAGCTTGAGACATTTCCTTTTAGAGTACAAAGAACTTCTATAAAGCATTGCCATTTGCCCCTCAAAATTCAATAATTTCTGAGACAGTTCAGATATCATAAAAGCCCAAAGGTTCAGTTTGGTATGAAGTATTGAAAATGAGAAGTAAGGATTGAGATTAGGGTTGAAAAAACCTATTAAAAGATTGCTTAATATAAGTAATTATTTGCCACTTAGGATTGAGAAACCCATGTAGGTGGGATTGATGAATACTATGGAGGGAAGTTGTATTTTCTAATTCCACCTACATGGGTTTGCCCAATCCCAAGTAGCATATTAAACATTTTCTTAAGGTATTTTTTAATCTCAATCCCAATGTTTACTTATGATTCTCAATACTTTATACTAAACAGGATAAAACGATAATAAAAAAGTTATTGCGAATTTATCCGCTCTTTAATTTACTTAGATAATCATGCTTCTAAAACAAGTTTTAATGATGCGGGGTGTGTTACACTTTCCGAGTTAAGTTAGCTTATGATTTCGTAAGTTGGATGATTAGTAAAAAGGACACACGCACATTTTTGTTTCACAAAAGAAGTAGAAAATTAATTATTTATTTGTTACATGAAGAAATTAGTCATTTTTTAATTTAATGCAATGTAATGCTTGAAAAAATTGGCGCCAAAGAAATTTTCAAAAACTACATGCAATATAACATTTTACAAATAAAGAAATACATATGTACAAAATTAATTATAACAATATGGAAAATAATTTTAAAAAATTTGCATATAATAATAAATTTTTGAAAAGTAGATTATATAAATTTCATTATGCAGAATAAATGGCATAATGATGTGAAAAACTAAACTGCCGACTAGAATAGCCTCAAATATGGTTCACAAGTCCTTATATAAATTGTTGTTTCCAAGATGTGACATTAATCTAACTCTGCACATTCCTATAAATGAAAATGTGGCAATTACGTATTAAACGAAACTTCTCTTACTAACTACCACTAGCTAACTTATTATTATTGAGTCACATTAAAGCCACAACATGGTAAGAACAAGATAAATGACCTAACACATTTTAATATATCATCAGATTGTCTTTTTTTTTTTTTTTCACAAAAAGACCCATCAACGATATGAAATAGTCGGTTTTGAATAGATCCTTTTCTATTTAAATTGTATATTTTATTAAGAATAATTCATTTAATTTAAAACAAATTAATTCGGCGCGTTTTACCATATATACCATTAT